CCAACTTGAAGCAGCCGTCCGCAGAGGAATACTAGGAACTCGAGAAAACAGACGTATTACCAGCCTATTCTCTAACGAGGTGCACCGGATAGAAAGGGATACGATATCCGACTTTTGAGAAGATGATGACAATTCATGCAGAGGATATCCGAACAGACTGCGATATCAGCATTCTTCAGCCAGACTTATAGACAGCTGCTACTACTAACTTTACTCTGACAGTGATAACTGCAGCAGCATGGAGAGAAGATGTCAGGCCAAGAAGAACCCGAAGACAACGGAAAAGTAGAACAACAACACCCGAGTCGCATGAAGACACTAAAAGAAGAAAGAAGCTTCAAATAAGAATGAGGAAAGATATTTTCACCGTCGCGTACCTCGTCAAGACGAAGCCTTCTAGCTCAAGTGAAGGGGTTGGGTTAAGCTCTGGGCCTGTCTCTACTGCTACAAGGACTCCTCTCCTCACGCTAGTCTCTCTGTACCCACTTCCTGCTCGTCTTAAGTTTTTATACACTTAGTCATTACCAAACTCTTCAGCACGGGTGGGACACGAACAAGGGGACACAGGTGGAAACTTAGTACCCAGATGAGCCACAGAGACGTTAGAAAGAATTTTTTCAGTGTCAGAGTAGTTAATAAATGGAATGCATTAGGAAGTGATGTGGTGGAGGCTGACTCCATACACAGTTTCAAATGTAGATATGATAGAGCCCAGTAGGCTCAGGAATCTGTACACCAGTTGATTGACAGTTGAGAGGCGGGACCAAAGATCCAGAGCTCAACCCCCGCAAGCACAATTAAGTGAGTACGTCTTGGAGAGCTCTGTTGCTTGTTAGTATACTGCCTATAATTTATAATTATAATGATTAGATTTAGGCTCTTAATGTTACCTTTTCCTTGTATAATAATGTATTTGAAATTACTGTAGAACTTTTTTTGTGAATTGAAGGTTTTGAATCTGTAAATGTAAATATATTTGTAAATAAGATTTTAAATTCATCCTCCTCCTCCGCTTTTCTCCCCTATGCACATGCTGGGGGTTTTGACCCCTCTCTCCCATCTAGGTTATCTTGAGGTTATCTTGAGATGATTTCGGGGCTTTTCAGTGTCCCCGCGGCCCGGTCCTCGACCAGGCCTCCGCCCCCAGGAAGCAGCCCGTAACAGCTGACTAACACCCAGGTACCTATTTTACTGCTAGGTAACAGGAGCATAGGGTGAAAGAAACTCTGCCCATTGTTTCTCGACAGCGCCTGGGATCGAACCCAGGACCACAGGATCATATGTCCAGCGTGCTGTCCGC